GGGGGGGGGTGTACCTTGGTTGGTGATTGGCTAATGGTTACACAAGCCAAAAAGGCCTTATGACATCATAAAGTGGCCAAAATCTGATCAGCTCATTTTCAGACAGGTTTCTATATAAATGGATCAGGACAAAAAGTGAGAGAATCTTTTTTCCTGAAACTTTCAGAGTCTCTTTCCACAGAGGGGACACATGTTGATGTAGAAAAGACGTGAACAAGTGNGGTTTTTATAGAAAGGACAAAAAGTGAGAGAATCTTTTTTCCTGAAACTTTCAGAGTCTCTTTCCACAGAGGGGACACATGTTGATGTAGAAAAGACGTGAACAAGTGGATTTTGCATAATAGGTGACCTTTAAAGAACATGGTTATCATTTGCTGTGTTTAGAAGTTCATGTTTGAAACATGGAAAATGTCAGGACGTTTAAAATAAACAAGTTATCGGTGTTTTATTTTGGAAAATGTTTGAATCAGAATAGACTGTTTCAGTGATGACAGATTTGTTTAGGCCAACCTGGAAGTTAGCATCACCCTGGATCCCTTGTAAAAAAGCCAGTGGGTTTTTTTCCTTTGGACTTTTAATCATTTCCAAAAATAAGCTCTGCGGCAAACAGTGTTTTGGATGAAATGGTCATATTGCCAGGTTTAAAAGTCATGATTTTGTCTGAGGCTCCACAAACGACTTTGGAGGTCTGTAGCTCGTATTTCTCATGTTTCCAAAAGCACAGAAAGGTAGTATCCAAATATCCAAGTTACTCAATTTAGACTTCCATCTCATAAAAGGGTTGTTAGCACCGTGTTTAATGTCAGGTTTTGTCTGTGTTCAATTTAAGAATGTGCAGTGTGAAAAGTAGAAGAAATCCTTGTACCGCCCTACAAAGACAAAGTGTGGTGACTAATCTGCTGACACTTAACTTATCTGAAACTTAAACTAAAAACACAAAATCTAACATCTGTTTTTTCCAGTTTGTGGATCAGTTTCTCCTGTTTGCCTTTGTGGGGCAAAACGCAGTACAGTAATGTGATCCCATAGTAGACCTGTTCTCTCAGATACAGAAGTGTATTTGTAATTTCTGATGATGATCTGCAGGCTGTTCCCATCTCAAACGGGACGTCCTTTGAGTTCGTCACCACTGAGAATGGACCGGTCTGCCTGGACTTATATTCCACCCCGCAGTATAAAATGGACCAGCCCAGCGACGGTAAAGGTGAGCAGTTTAATGTCTTCTCTCTTCATTTAATTTAAAAGTTATTGACAAGTAAATACTGTAGAGTGAAACTACTGTGGAAAGAAACTTAATCACTATAAAATCAGAAGCGTATTTTTGTGTCGTTTTATATAGTTGGATATCAGCAGTCTTTGCGTTTAGTTATACTGTAAACAAATGTATTTCCGAAGATATATTTTTCTTTAAATAGTAAGCTTACTTTTGTTAAGACATACAAAACATCTCACATTCAGAAACTCCTTCAATCAAAAGTGTGCAGTGGATAATATTGATGTTATTATAAGGCAGTTGTTCCCAGTTTCTGGATGTAATTAAGAATTACAGAACAACATATATACACATGTTTATCGTTGATATTTTTGTTGTATTTTCAAAATAACTGCGTCAAAAACCATTGGATTTTCCTGCCATTCCTTTGTTTTGATTCCACCACATTGAATTGTCTTCACTTGTACTTTGCACTTGAACTTGCTTAACCGCACCTCGTCACAACTGTTTCTACAGGTCATCAGCCTCTGGACACAGCTGCTTAATGTCTGCTGTTATTGAAGTAGCTTGGTAAAGTTGTTTTGGTCTTGCTAGTGGCTTCTTTATTAAATTAAGATAAGATGAGATAAAACTTTATTTATCCCGAAGGAAATTGTTGTGCCAGAGTTACAAAAATACAATAAACACAGCAGCACAATAGAAAAACTGTACACTAAAACTGCAGTAAAAAGAGTATTAAATATCTACAGGAAACATAGACGGTCACATAATTAATGTCATTATTATCATATTCAGTAGTGCAAAAAAAAACGTAGTGGCAGATACGTAATTGCACGTTATCATGGCACATTATTAATAATAATAATATTGCACATGTTATATAGCGGACAGCAGTTGCGGACTGGCCATCGGGAGGTTCGGCAATTTGCTAGCGGTATTTACTTGCGGTACCGAGGTGGGCCGGTCGGATAAGTCACTAGCAACCCCCCCCGTTGACAATTTATTAGCAGTATTTACTTGCAGTACCGCGGTGGGCCGGCGGTACCGAAGTCCCGGACTGATTTTTAGTCCCACTCCGCCCCTGGCAGCGAGTGTTTTGTAATGATGGTAATGATATTGTTAGGGTGCGTAGAAAAGGTAGGACCCAAAAGCAGTATTAACAAATAATTTACAAAAAAAGCCGATGACAAAAGAAAACAAGAGACAAAGTTAGCATTACCAAAAACAGGGGAGCACGAGTAAATAATCCAGGACCCAAACATGGAGCGTGACATGAAGGGAAAGACAAACAATGAACTGACACCGAACACAGGAACAGACTAAATACAGGGAGGGGTAATCACAAGACGAGAAACAGCCGGGCAGGGAAGGAGAAACACAAGGGCAACAGGTGAACACAATCAGACAACTAGACACACCAGGGAAACTAACGACAGGGGAAAAACACAGAGAAAAGGACCAGACAATAAACCAGGAAGAAAACATGACAGGGAGAACAGCAAAACACTCAAAACTAGACATAAAAACGTGACATGACATGAATATCGTGACAGATATCTATATTGCACATAGTGTTGGTGTGGAAGTTCTCAGTTTCCTTTCCTGAAGGGTGAAGATGGCGATGTCTGTCCATTCCCACATACCGGATGTTTGCTTTTAACTCTTGTACACACGTTCATGATCTATGATGATGAATTGTTGTCCCATACTCTGGTCTAAAAGATTATCTTGTCCTCTGCTGGACAGATTTCCACTCTGTGTCTTCAAATTGTTCCCAACTTTATACGTATAAGCTCAACCCTGAATCACTGCAGTTTCTCACGTAACTCAATAATGTAACCGAGCCCCGTAAGTATTCTAACAGTGAGTCGTGTTTCTGTGTCCAACCAGAGAAGAAGAAGGAGGAGTGTGTGTATGAGGTGTCTGTTCCCCTGGAGGAGTCGGAGCTTGAAGGAGGAGAGGAGGAATCTAAGATGAAGAAAAGAGGAGTCGGTGCGATGGTCAAAATCTTCCACTTTGTCCTGAAGCAGAGCTACATCTGTGCTCTCATAGCCATGATGGTGAGTAACGCATCCCGCAGATGTTGAAACGTAGGAGCTACAGACGCAGGCTTATGCTGCATTTTGGTTGGGAAATTCGAATTCCCTTAAGAGAAACTGGTAAATGATGAATGGACACAGTTTTTCTTTTGTTACATTTGATAAAGTAATAAATAAAGTCAATGTACAATCGATCTCAAATGCAGGAACAGAGCAACTTCATCCTCAGAGGACAACATAGCTTTGAACACAGTTTAAAGTCACACTATATAGTAGAAAGAAAATAGCCAACTGGTCCTACCCATAAAGTATCTATCTAAACATCCCCACCATTAAACTCTAAAACTCCCCAGTCCTTAAGCATTTGCAAATCCACCTTTTGCCCGTCCTGAAATGTCAATCCTAAACATGTGTCTCTGTTAAACACATATAGACTATAGAGATACTAAAAATACTATTTAACGGAGTAAAAGGCAATCCGAGAATAAGACATAATCTATATATATCATTTAAATTATCATATGATAATTTGACACGACAGAAAACATTCAATATGACTTTTGTTTATGAATTTAAAATGTATAACTGTTGCACAAATGACTTTGAGAATTTAATTTGAATACCTGAGAAGCCCTCTGTCATCCTCCTCTGTCCATACATGTACATGAAACTGCTGTGCAATGCAAACCTGTGGAGCTGTTGGCAAGAATAACTACATTACAGTTTCAAACTAAAGTAAGTTTCCTACATCATTAAAGGTGGGGTAGGTACGTTTGAGAAACCGGCTCGAGATGCACTTTTTGTTATATTCCATGGAATGCTCTTAAAGTCCCGGTAGCAATGAATATCTGAAGTGCTTTGATAAATAATCCATTAAAAAATATCATCTGTAGAAGCCGTGGCGCTGTAAAAAGCACGACCAATCATCTGAGCCGGTCCGGCTAAAATAACTGGATGGCCTACCTGCCTGTCAGCCTTCCATCTGTGCACAAACTTATCTCGTGCCCTCATTGGTCATGTGCGCGTTGGTGTGTATTTTCAAATTCTAGCGCACTCGAGCTGGTTTCTCCAAAATTACCTACCCCACCTTTAAAAGTAAAACCAGTCCACGTCTTGGTTCACAGACGGATTACTGGACAGGTTAGGGGTCTCCTAAGCAGACCTTTCGTTTGAATTTACTGCTAACATTTCTTGTTAGGAAGTCACAGACAAAAATAAAATGACCTAAAAGATTTGTGTTTAAATTTGTGGCTCTTGTTCTTATGTAGAAGTGATGGGTGCCTTTTATATCTCCCATTGTTTTACAATCCTAATATGTCTGAGTAACCAAAGTTGTGCTGACATATATGACATGTAGGTCTACGTGATGTTTGCCTTTGTAAACTAATGGAGTGAAAACTGCATGAACGCCGAGCTTCATTAGTCCTTCATCAGCAGCATCGTCCTAACAGTAAGTTAAATGTTTCTTTTGTTCAGGCGTGGAGCATCACTTACGTCAGCTGGCTGACGTTTGTCTTCCTCATGTGGTCGTGCACGCTGTGGATGGTGAGGGACCGGCGGCGCTACGCCATGCTGTCCTCGCCCTTCATGGTCGCTTACGGAAACCTGGTCATAAGTCTACAGTACATCTTTAGTTTTGAGAACCTGAATCCTGACCAATACTCAGGGTTCTTTGTCAGCAAGAAAAACCATTTCCACTCAATTTCATCCAAGGTTTGGAGTTTAAAATATACTTTATTTTGTCAGTGCCATGTATTTCTGTCTACTAAAAGAACATAGATTGAGTGACAACCTCTGATGTAATATGTTCTTGGAGTTATAATGTGAGAAATGTACTCTGTATGAAGCTAATGGGATACACTGTAACAACTGGTTCTCTCTAGCAATCAATTAATCAGATCAAAGTGGGCAGTTTTACAATTCCTCCTGGAAAAAGGAAGGGTTTGTCCTGTTTGATGGATTGTGTCCGTCAGACTTTTAGTGGGATGTTTATTATCATCATACTACAGTTTTATTACAGAGTGCATATGTAACGATGCAAAATGATATCACACTTATCAAACTGTATTTTGTTTTGCTTTATTTAAAGTGTCAGGTGTGTGCAACATGTGCCAGACACTTTAAAAACTCAAGTCTGATTGTGTGTGTGTGTGTGTATATAAAAACTATGTTGTTTTGACCACCCATATTGTGCTTTGAGCATAGTCATTGCTTTCCTTTCTGTTTGTCTGAACATTACATTTGTTGTGTGCAGATCATGTGTCTGCTGACCTTTTGGCTTCTGCTGAGACAAACACTTACAGAGAGAGAGGAAAAACTAAAAGAAGAAAGTGTCAGTCTCTCAGACGTTCATGTGGAGGATGAGAAGAAGAAGGGTAAATCCAGGGCTCTTATTTTTACTGAGATTATAACAGACGTCATTTAGAAAAATGGGCAGATTATGGAACAACGGGCCCCTGTGCACTGGCATGGGAAAGGCCCCAAGACGCACTGACTTTGTAGTTGTGAAGCCCCTTTTTGTTTAGAATCTCTTTGTAGTCATTTGAAGTTCCCTTGTTTACCTTATAAACACTTGGAGACGTTTTCCTTTCACCTATCTTTTGAGCAGTTATAAGCATTATATGAGTAAGTATTGTGCATTAATAAACACTTGATAATGTCCTTGAATTATCTTATGACTACATTATAGTGCAGGGGTGTCAAACTCAAGGCCCGGGGGCCAAATCCGGCCCGACACTTCATTTTATGTGGCCTACA